TAACAACCATGTTACTGATTTAACAACTGCAGCGATTCACTTAACAATTGCGGCAAGCAAGGTTGTAAAAATGGGGCAAAATTCACTTAACAAAGGTATCACTTAGCAACAGAAACGTTGGGCTCAATTGTCGTAAGTCGAGGACTAGCTATACAAGCTGAAACGCACCAAAACAGTGTCAAAATTATTGTAAATTGTATCATTTTAGGGAGGTCATTTCAGAATTAGTCCTGTTTTGAAAGGAATTTAAAAATAAAGCTTAGTGTACTGATTAGCGTTGGAACAAGTCTTTGGGGGGTGTCTTGTTCACATGCTTTTAGAGTAGTTCCTTTCCCTAAAAAGTATGATAGCAAATGTTTTTCTAGGTTCTAAAAAAGCAATTTATTTAAAGACTTATCTAGCAGTTTTCATTACTGATCCCAGGACAATTCATCACAGACCAATGAAATGATTCCTGGAATAAAGAAAAGACCAAACCCTCAGCAACACTTTGAAATATTTTGTATTCCGATTGCAAAACAACCAAAGTATGTTTAAATAATGTCATGTAAAAAAAATGGAATTGGCTGTGGCCCAAATTCTTTCATTTGTGACTAAGAATGTAGTTTCAAAAATGTTGATTGCACCATGTCCTGGAAGAAGTATGAGTCTCCCCCCCCAAGTTACAGGAATAAATTGGTTGAGAATAAGATTCTAAGATTATTGTGTTTTAAAATGTGTTAATATTCTTAAAACAATTTTAAAGTCTTAAAGTCTGTACATTGCACTGATTTGTAGGTTATTTAATAACTGATTGTTGAATTAATGGCTATTCTACACCATTGTTACACTGCTACCTACCAATCTCTAAGCTTTCAGGAAAATATGCTAGTGTAAATATTGTGGCCCTCCTAATCTGCCAAAATAGTGTTCTTAAACACTTGTCACATAGCAAACTGAGAAGCAGGAGAACTGGATTTGCTTGGCTTCATTTTCCCTCCCATTTCCTCAGTGGGCAAAAAACCACCCACTATTGCCCCAGTTTAGGATATGGTTGGGTGAATGTAGATGAGTCTTAAAACAAGAGGTTTATCCATCTGTCAGATTGCCTGACTAATAGATTGCAAGTGCAAAGGGGTACATGAGGTGGAATAGGAGGGAATGCTCCCACTGGTCCTACTCAGTGCAGCCCCTCACTTGTCCCTCTCAGTTGAGCTATTGCTGAAGAACGCTAAACTCATGTCAAAAACAATCCAGCTGACAGGTTACAGGTGATGAGTATGGGGTGAAATGGATGGTAACAATAACAATCATGCTCCATTGTTGACTAATGCTGTAAGTAAGAGAATTGTGAATTATCATACAGTTAATGTCTGCCTAGTCACCAGTGCCAAATTTGAATTAGAGTGGGCAAGATGGTATCACCTTCTCTATACAAGCCCCTTGTTGGTAGAAGCAGCAAAACAATGGCTATAGAACTAACAGCAGTTGAAAAAAGCAGCTCTTTCTCATGGTTTAAATCAACTTTCTCTGCAGCTTAGAAATGAAATGCTGCTTAGAAAACAAGTCTAGCACACTTTCCAAAAAGTACGAAACCCCGTGTTTGTAGTCAGGCATTAAGCAGGCAGATATCTCTGCAGTGGCAAGTGCCTAATCTCTCCTGTAGACCAAGCCAACATGACCACAGAGAGCAGCTCCCAGCAATGGAAAGTGGAAGGAACTTGTTTGCAGCAGCGTAAAGTAGCCAGTGGGAGTTAGGTTAACCTTGGAGTGGCTCAGCATCATTAGTGTAATACAGTATTTCTCACCTTGGCATGCTGGCTGGGGAATTCTGGGAATTGAAGTTCACACATCTTAAAAGTTATCAAGTTTAAGAAACTCAAGTGTACCAGATTGTATTCATACCTAAAATTATATTTAAAAATATGAAATGCTTCCTTTTTAAGAACTGGAGCCACAAAGGAAAATCTTAAGTTGCCCAACTATAGCATGGGGTCAGGATAGCTGAGGAGCCATCTCACTCCATTGGCTCCCCCATTGGCTTCCCCGTTTGTTCCAGCGTAAAGGGCCTATTTTGGATCCCATCTGCCAAAGAATTTTGATTGGCAGGGTCCAGGAGAAGAGCATTTTCTGCTGTGCCCCCCCACTCTGTGGAATATTCTCCCATTGGAAGTGAGGTCCACTCCCATATTCCTGGCCTTCTGGAAGAGCCTGAAAACCTGGCTCTGCTGCTGGGCTTGGGGCCCTAACAGAGGCCTGCTACGTAGGGGTTCACTGACCATGTAGAAAAGATCCCCACTCCCAGACAGCCCATCATCTATGTTTTTAGCTTTTCTATTTAATTCCTCTAATTTAAATTGTCTTGCAGACTTTGTAACTTTTTATTATATTGTAAACCAGACATATCAAACTCGCGACGTCACGTGAAGTCATGCAACGTATCGGAGCTTTTTTGCCATTGCCGGCAATGGGGTGGGCACGGCTGCGGTATGATGAAACCGGCCCGTGGGCCGGCAGTTTGACACCCCTGTTGTAAACCATCAAGAG